AGTGGCAGCTGAGGTGTCCAGAAATAGACATTAAAATGAGCAAGACGCCTCTGCCCAGAAACCCAAGATGGCAAGGGGGAGGGGGTCGGCGCGGGGGTCACTCTACCCTCCTACCCCCGTCCCTGGCTCCTGGATGAAGCCAGCAAGATCTCCTTCTGAGGTGAGGCAAGGCCCCCCCATCCACATGGGGAAACTGAGGCCCCTGCCCAGTGCAGAGCCGGCAGGAGGCTGGGCGGGGCTGCCCTGCCCTCCCCTGTCTGGGGGCTCTATCCTGTACCCTCCCCGTCAGCTGGGGAGGGTACAGGCGGGTGCCAGGGGCTAGGAGGACATTCCACCCTCGGAGAAGGAAAGCAGTTGTCTGGGCGGGGGGGGGGGGGGGTGCCCTCCGAGGCTGTGTATGGAAATAGCCTGTGAGGTCAAGCTCCTTGGGGGCTTAGCCAGGAGTGCAGGGAGGCGCAGGAGGCTCTGCCACGGACTCGACCCATGCCTGCCCGGAGCCTGCTGCTCCCCACCTGCTGCCCCGAGCCTGCTGCCCTCCGCCTGGCTCTGTCTCCGCCCAGGATTCCCTAGAGCTTCGGCAAGCGTGGGGGGCCCTGGGAGATGAGAGACCTGTCTGGGGGCCTCAGGGGGACCCCGAGTGAGAGGGCGGGGCTTCAGGGGGCTCCAGCGAGGCGGGACAGGGCTGGGCCCTCCTCCCCGGCTTCCGTCCTCCCTCACCTGCCCCGTCCACCACCCGACCTGGACACCAGGGAGTGCCCAGGCCACCTGGGGCCCAGGCACCTCTCCCCACAAAGCATCTCCTACCATAGCCATCACCCCTACAAAAAGGTCGAGGGAGCTCAGACGCAGAGCCCGGGCTGCTGTGCCCTGCTCCCGGTCACCGGGCACCCGCCGCGCCGCTGAGGCCCCACGGCCACGGTGAGCAGGCAGCCCTCCACGCTCTGCACAGGGCCCGCTGCATGGACTCGGTCTCATTCCTCGCCTCTCTCCAACTCATTCCCACGGCTCCCAGGACCCCCGCCACGTGCCCAGGGCCCATGCCCTGTGCTGGGTCAGGAGCCGGCCTCCTGCTTCACCCGGAGGCGCAGGAAGCATCAGAACTCCGTGCCAGAATCCCCGACCTGGGCCCCAGGCAGCCTCCCGGCTCCTGCCACCATGTTCTCAGTCGAAGACCTAGGTAGCATGCCGCCTCGACCCTCAGCCCCAGGGCCCGGAGTGCCCCTCAGATGCTGGCAGCCCAGCCCTGAGGTGGCCAGGGGTCCTGGGCAGGCTGCTTGTGCCCCATACCCACCTGTAGTAGAGTCTGAGAAGGTCTGAGCTCCTGTGGTCAGGACCGGCTGCAGGCGATGCTCACCCCACACAGCCTTGTGTTATAAGGACATTCGATCTTCCCCTGCAGCCCATTGGCCAGTGGCTGGGCAGGGGGGAGGGTGTGTCCGTGCAGGCCCCTGACCAAGTATAGGAATGGCCGGAGGAAGAGGCCGAAGGAGGCGAGTTGGAGGAGACGTGCCTGGAGAAGGAGGCAAGGTCCCTGCCTGGTGTCAGCTGCTATTTTTACCATCAGCAGTGGGGGCATTCTTGATGGGCCAAGGATGGCAGCAGGAGGAGATTCAGTGGCTGCAGGATGGGGCGCTCGCCGCCCTTGGCCAGGCTGGGGTGGTGGTCCACAAAGCTAGAGCCTCAGGTCCACAGTGCCCAGATCCGAGTGGTCTTTGGGAAGCAGAGCTGGTGCCCAGGACAGCTCCTCTCTCCTTCACCCGCACCTTACCCCAGGACAACCCCCCTTTCTCCATCAGAGGAGCCCAAGATGCCCAGAGAATGGAGGCTTTTGAGTTCTTGGTCCCAAGACATCCCAAGCCTGTTGGAGGCCAGTCCTGATTTTCCATGTGGACCTCCCCGGCACACCCAGGCCCCAAGGGCAGAAGAAACCATGGCCCATGCCCTGCAGTGGCGCAGGCTCAGAGCACTGCGATGAGGGGGCTTCCAAGGCTGGGGCCATGCCACGGCCATTGGTCTGTGAAGGGGTTCAGGCCCCCTGAGGGCTCCCCTTTCTCCAGAAGGTGCTCAGCCCTGAGCAGGTTGGACTGTGTGCCATGGAGCCTGGCCTCAGAGCCCGGTCTGTCTTTCCCCAGGACTCCAGGGGGCACTCTCCAACCAGCAGATCCTTCTAGGTTTCTGGTAGTCCCCGTGTGTGCTACTGAGCCCACACACCCAGATAGCCCTGCCGTCAGGGAAACTGAGGCACCGGTGGAGAGTGAGCAGCCTGATGCTTGATTCCACTTCCCCAGTTCCTATAGTCTGGGCATGACTAGTGGAGCCACCCAGTTCAAGGAAGAAATTTGTGTCAGGTGCAAGCCAGTTCCCAGGACAGGGCGCACCCTGGGGACACACACAGGGGTCCTGCTCTTGAGAGTTCTAGCCCTGGTGCTGTGTGCCACAGCTGGCTCTCGGGCTATCTGGAAGGCTGTGATTGGCACTCACCAAACCCTACCTGTTGGAGATGGGGCTACCAGGCCCCTGGTTAGAGGGCAAAGTCTGCCGACGGTCAGGGAAGGGCCCCACCCCTGCCCGTGTCCTCCTGAGTCCCCAGCTCTGGGAGAGCCCTGGGAGTCGGAACTCCTGGGCCACCCTGGGCCTCCGGGTCCGAGCCAGCCCCTCCTACTCCCCCTGCCCGTGACTTCAGATGGCGAGCGCTGGGCAGGCCCCACCCGGCCGGGACGCCTCCCTGAGGCTGGCCAGCAATCTGGCTGTAGAGGTTGCTGTGGTGCCACGTCTGTGAACACCCCTGGCTGGCACCCACCCACCTCTGCCCTCTGCCCTCGGGCTCCGCGGCGCTGCCCTCTGCCCTCGGGCTCCGCGGCGCTGCCCTCTGCCCTCGGGCTCCGCGGCGCTGCCCTCTGCCCTCGGGCTCCGCGGCGCTGCCCTCTGCCCTCGGGCTCCGCGGCGCTGGTCCTGGAGGCCAGCACACCTTGCTTTCTCTATCACAGGTCTTGGGCAGGCGGGCGGGATGGGGCTCTGCAGTGGCCCTGCCTGGCCAGCAGGGGAGGGTGGCTGCCCACGTTGGAGCCTTAGCCTTTGGCAGATGCCCTCCAGTGAGGTCAGAGGGACGAGAGGGACCTCCTCCTCAGGGCTCCAGGCCCAAGGTGCAGCAGGACAGCGTAGAGTGGGCACCATTGCACAGGCTGCTGCCAGCCACCAAGAACCTCAGCAGGTAACCCACCCCAGGTCCCACCTGGCCCGGCTGAGGCTGGGTGTGGGGTGCGGAGCTGGGGTGGAGGCCTTCCTTCGGGAGTGAGTGTGCGTGTGTGTGTGTGTGCACACGCTTGTGTGTGCGCGTGTGTGCACGTACAAGGCGGGGAGGGGTTGTGTAGAGACCCTGGTAGAGGTCAAGGATAGAGGTGGCCCAGGCCAGATGGATGGGAGACTGGTTTCCACCAGAGAAGAGGCCAGGGACCCAGTGCACCGTGTGTGGGGAGGGTCCACCTCTGAGGCAGTGGGTGCTGAGCTGTGGGAGAATCGGGGGGCACGACCCGTGTGGGTACCCGGCAGGATGACCGGGTTGTCCCCTCGCCCAGCACCCACAGCTGGCCGTGGAGGAGCCTGCGGACCCTGAGCCTCACCCCATGCCCTAGGCTGACCTCTCCAGAGAGAGGAGCAGCTGACGTGGCACTTGAGACCGCGCCACGGTCACAGCGGCCTCAGCCACCCTGGGCCTCCTGGTTTTACAGATCGCAGGTTGGCTCTGTGGGTTCCCATGGCATCTCCTGGGTGCGGGGCCACAGGGGGGGTGGCCTGGGGGAGGAGCAGCGGCAGCTGAGGCCCTTCAGACAGTCGGGCAGGGCGACTGCTCCCCGGTGTCCCAGGCAGATACTGCCTGGACAGGGGCCCCCTAGAGCCTGCCTCCCCTCCAGGTGTGGGCAGCGTGGCCAGCACCACTGTGGCGTGAGGTTGTCTGTGGAGCTGCAGGCGAATGGCAGACCCTGGGAGCTCATGCCTCGGGACAGGCCAGGGGGCCCTTGCCACCTCCAGTGAGGTACACTGGCTCCGGCCCTGCCCCTGTCCACTCCCTGCCTTGCCACGCCCCCTGGGGGGCTTCAGCCTGCTCCCCGCCCTCACGTGGCATCCTGCCCAGGAGGAGGCAGCATGGCCCGGACACTCAGTGGGGCGGCCGGGGGTCAGGAGCATGGGGCCAGCTGACCCTCCAGCCTCGGCACCCGGGTTCTGTGGAGCCTTAGCCTTCTTGAGCTGACCATGTTGGCAAGGCGGGTAGATCAGGATGTAGACAGTGGAAACGGCTAAGTGGATAAGGTCAAGCCTGGACAGCGCCAAAGGGCTTCAGATGGCCGAGCGCGGGGCTGGGGCGAGATATGAGTGCTAGTCTAGCAAGAGAAGAGGCACTGGGGGAGACTGTGCTCACCTGAGTCCCGGTCAGGCCCCCCTTTCCCCCCCGCATCCACGCGCCAGCTCGGACATCCAGCCCTTCACTCCTCTCCTCCTCCCTCCTCTCTACCATCTTCACTCGCCCATCTATCTGCTTCTCCAGCTGTTCACCCACCCACCATCCACTCATCTATCCATCGTCCGTCCATCCATACTTCCATCCATTTATCCATCTGTCTATCCATCCACTCATTCTCCCATTCATTTATCCACTTGTCCATCTGTCCATCCATTGGTCCCTCTGTCCACTCACCCATCTGCTCAGCCAGCCAGCCATTTACTGATCTGTCCATCCAGATATCCATCCACAAGCCTTCCCTGAGCACCTGGGTGCCACAATGGCTGCCACCCTTACTAGCCACAGTGGAGCACAGACCGGAGCACATTGTGAAGCTTGTATTGGACAGAAGAAAAGGAACCACAAACATGCTGGACAAGAAATGTGGTCCCCACACGCTATGGCTATGGGTACCCCAATGTAGGCTCCCACACACTTGGAGCTTGGGGTCCAGCCACAGGGCACCATAACTGTGTCGCAAGAGAGAACACAGGCGAGCTGGTGAGGAACATTCCAGGAGCTTTATTACACAAAATGTGGTGGGGGATGGGGGGCATCTGAAAGTGGGGTCGGGGAGAGACAGAGTTCTGAGCATCCGTCGCGAGTACAAGCGCCCCTCAGATCAGTGTGGAGGAGGGCAGACCTCTGGACTTTCTTGGGGCTCCTGGGTTGTCTAGGAAGCAGTTCTTGTGGCCAATCCTAGGTTTTCATCCTTCTCCCTGACGTAAGAGGCAGAGTGGGGAGCTTCTGCAGCCGCAGGTTGTCTTTTCCCGGCTTGGGCGGCAGGGGCGGTGGGGGGCCCAGGGGTCTTCCGGGGCCTGGGCCGCCTTCCCCCAGGGGCCCTGTGGCACCCAAGGTGAGCATCCCGGCGCTGGAGGAGAGGGGCAGACAGGGCAGTCAGGGGCAAGAGAATGAGGGGGGGTAGAGGCAGGAAGGTTCAGCAGCCAGAGGAGGTGGCAGAGAGCGGAGCTGTCGCAGGAGCCCGGCAGGCCATGCTGATGGCGGCACGAGACTGGAGTCTCTCCTGGGTGTGGAGGGAGCTGCCGCTGGCACCTGCACAGGCATAGCCACAGGCAAGGGGAAGATTAGTGGGGGGGGGTCTTCTATCCTGCCTTAACCTTCTGCTCCCCCCCACCCCGCCGTCACCCTGCTCACATCCCTTCCTACAGCCCAGAGACCATCTCTGTTACAGCCTCCTGCTGAGGCCCCCTCCCAGGGTGTAGCCTTGGCCTTGCTCATGGCCAGCTCACAGGGGAGGGAATACTGCCCACCACCCTGCCTGTCCCCAGGGCTGGGCCCAGGCCCCAGGAACCACCAGCCATGGGGACGCAGCCCCAGCAGATGCCTCCTGGCCCCTTCCTTGGGAGAGCCAGCCCGATCACACAGCACTAGGCCTCCTCCATTCCCAAACCAGGCGGCCCCTGGCTCCGCCCAGATGCTATTTGTCAATGTCCTTGCAAACATGGGGCGCCCAGAAGCCAAGGAGGAGGCCTGGGCAGGGCCAGTGAGGCCCGGTGCCCAGAAACCAAGGGAGATTGCTTCTCCAGGACCACCTGGGCCTGGAGGTCTGGGGCATATCCGATTTAGCACAGCTCAGCGGAAACTGCTCCCATCTCAGGGCCGGTCTACCTCTGCCCATGTGCCTCAGCTTTCCTGATCCTCTTGGCCGGCACTCTCACCACTGGCTGGCCAATGACGGACGCGCCTGTGGTTGGGTTGCCGGCGGCACAGCACCCCTCACGAGTCTGGAGGCAGCCCCTTCTTCCTGCCCACAGCGGCCGCGGCCGCCGGCAGCCAGCCAGGCACAAGCATCTCACTTGGCGCTCGCCAGTGGGTCTCCTGCCCCCATCCCGTGCGGTGCTGCGGCCTGCCCGGGCCTGTGCACACGGGCAGCCCAGCTTCGAGCCGGGCCAGCAGGGAGGACAAAGACCCTGAAGACACCTGCCCAAGTGGCCTCAGACTCACTCAGGACAGATTCACTCAGGACAATGGTTAGAAGGCACATGGAAGGTTCTAGGGCCAGGGATCCCCCTGTCCCACCCCCAGACTTAGATGACCACAGGCCCCTCGCCCATGCAGGGAGGGAGAAGCAGCGACCAGCCTGACTGCCCTGTCTGCTCCTCTCCTCCAGCACCGGGATGCTCACCTTGGGTGCCACAGGGGCCCTGGGGGAAGGCGGCCCAGGCCCCGGAAGACCCCTGGGCCCCCCACCGCCCCTGCCGCCCAAGCCGGGAAAAGACAACCTGCGGCTGCAGAAGCTCCTGAGGAAAGCTGCCCGGAAGAAGATAGCGGGGGCCGCGCCTGCCCCCCCAGGGGCCTTCCGGGCCTCCTTGTCCCCCGTGAGTGAGGCCAGCCACGAGGTGGAGACGGCCACCGCACAGGCCCCGGAGGCTCCATGTCCCGTGGGGGCCCCTGGCGCGGTGGCCCCGCAGCCCCGCCCCCCGCACACGCCCATCATCCAGCAGGTCTCCTCACCCCCCCAGAGGTCCTCCTTCGCCGTCAGCCGGACCCAGCAGAGGGCTCTGTCTGCTCACCTCAAGGCCCCGCCGAGGCCCGGAGCCCCCAGTCCTGCCCCAGAGGCAAGCGCCACCCACATCACCCAGGTGCACATCCAGCTGGCCGCATCCCCGCACGCGGGGACCCCTGAGTCCCCCAGAAGGGCTCTGCACGGGGGGTCCCGTGGCCAGGATGGCCACACAGCCCCACGTGCTCTGGGCACCCAGCCTCTCATCCCAGTCGCTCACATCCGCCCGCTGCCAGCCGGGGCACAGGGGGGCAGCCCCGGGCCAGGGGGGCCCCCGGCGGCTAGGCTGCCGCCCAGCTTCCAGGCCTCAGTGCCCAGAGAGGCCGGTGCCAGGGTGATTGTGCCCATCGCCCCCACCTACCGTTCCCCAGGACCTCCACCTCTCAGCCCAGCCGCCGGGAGCCCCAAAACTGAGAGTCTGGAGGAGCTGACCTCACAGGCGGAGCAAGTGTCCAGTCCTCCGGCCTCGCTCCTGGCCCCGCCCTCCGGCCCCCACCCATGCCCGGTCCCCAAAGTGGCACCCAAGCCCCGGCTCAGCGGCTGGACACGTCTCAAGAGGCAGTTGATGGAGGAGGCCGAGCAGCCTCCATTCCCAGAGCCTGAGCAGAGCCTGGAGCCCTCCCAGCCAGAGCCCAGGGCCCCGGCCGGGCCTCGGCCGCCCGCCTCCCGGGCTTCCAGGATGTGGGACGCAGTGCTGTACCAAATGTCAGTGGCCGAATCGCGAAGCTGCACGGCGGGGCCCGGGGCCGGGGACCGGCCCATGGCCAGCCTCAGCCGCCTGCCCTTCCTGTACCGGCCTCGCTTCAACGCCCGGAAGCTGCAGGAGGCTGCGCGGCCCCCTCCCACACTCCACCACGTCCTAGAGCTGAGCCCCCAACCCAAGAACTTCAACCGGACTGCGGCCGGCTGGCGGCTGCAGTGAAGGGACCAGGGTGCTCCCCTGGGGCCACGGGTTGTGGGTGGGAAGAAGAGGGGTGTGGCCATCACCAGAGGGCGGTGGGCATCATGGGAGCAGGTGGGCATCATGGGAGCAGGTGGACATCATGGGAGCATGTGGGCATCATGGGAGCAGGTGGGCATGGGATCGGGGCAGCAGGTGCTGGGTACAGCCTGCCGGTTGGGGGCAGGTCAGGTAGTGGGACCCAAAAGGACCAGTCAGAAAGGCGGACGGGGCAGGGGATGGAGGGGCTGCATGAGGGCCAGTGAGGAAGGGCAGGGACAGTCCTTGTTGAGGAGCACGGGAGCTTGGGGAGGGCAGAAGGACGTGAGTGTGTCAGATGGGGGGAGAGGCGATACACCCACCCAACCAGCCAGGTCAGCCAGGCTTCGAGTGGCCAGCCTGGCCCTCTCCCTTCGCTGTCAAAGGCTAAGGGATGGATTCATCCTGCTAAAGTAAGCTGGGGGGTGGCTGGGTCTGAGGAGTGATGGGAGCCAGACCCGTGGGTCAGGGTGCAGGGAGAAGGGGACTCGGGAGCTAGCTAGCATAGGGAGCGCCCAGGGCGGGGTAGGAGACCGGGCAGAGGAGAGGGCTGGCGCGGCCTGGTCGGCTGCCTCCTCTCCCCCCTTCCTGGGCTACGGCAACAGGACTCTCGGAGGGGACAGAGAAATGGGGGAGGGGAGGTCGGGGCCAGCTACCAGAAGAGCAAGCCAAGGTGGGTTGAGGGGCAGCCGGCAGCTGGGCAAGGCCTTGAAGGGGCCCTGCCGTCCACTCGGTTCTTAGGAGAGGGCCTCAGAGGGGCCAGCAGCGGAACACAACAGGGTCACCGCGGGGAGGAAACAGGGGCAGGCCCACTGCCCCGCCCGAGACAGGATAGCTGTCGAGAGGGAGCCTGGAGGGCAGGCCACTAATAAATACACATCTAACCATGGAGGGGGTAACAATGCTCAATAGGAAGTGTACTCATTACCTTGCTCATGTAACTGTAACCCTCTGTATAGTATCTTTACAATAAAAAATTAAAAAAAATACACATCTAACCATACGGCATCATCCTCTCTGTCTTCACCAGCAGTAGAACTTTCCGGTAGCCTCAGTGAGGACGGAGGGTCAGGCCTAGGCTCTGGCCTGTGACAGACCCTCGGCCTGCACTCCGCAGGGAGGCCTCCACCGCTTCCAGGGTCAGCCCGCAGTGGCCTCTCCTCCCCAGCAGGCCCCGCTAGGCATGCTGGGAGTCCCCCAGGGCGTGGCGGATGAGTGGCCTGGCCCTGGGAGAAGGGGCAGGACTCTGGGCTGGTTGGAGACCAGGGGCTCCGGTGTGCCCCGGCCCAGGAAGGCCCCTCTGGTGTGGGCCGTGGCCTTCAGCCCCCAGGGCCCCGCCTCGCACAGGCCCCAGGACACATTCGCAGAAGGCAACTGTGAACGATGGAGCGATGTGAACGTGGGGACGATGTGCCGTGCTCTGCTCCTCACCCGACTCACCCAGACAGGTGGCCTCCGCAGCCTAGGGCGCCGGACCCTCGTCCACAGACACTTTCTCGTACTTTCCATGTCCGGTGGCCACAAACTTGTACCTCTTCCCAGACGGAGTGCTCTGTTGGGGAAGAGGTGGAGTCGGGCTGGTGAGGGCAATCCCCCCGATGTGGGTAGCCCCTCTTTGCCTGCCCCCAGCCTGTGCCCGGAATGTGGAGCTCTACCTTGACTGTGGAGGAGGTCTTACAGCCTCCTCTCTGCTCCCAGAGGCTTTTCTTGCTCATATCTCCAGCCACGATATCCTTCAGGAAGGAGAGGGTAGAGAGTCTGGCCGTGGCGCTGGAGGCTCTAGGTCCTAGGCCTCTCTCCTCTGCCTGGCTTTGCCTAGACCCCCTCTTGCCTTCGAGTGAGGCCCAGAAGAAGCAGGGCAGGACAGAAGGTCCCCTGCCCTTGTCCCCTGACAGCGCTGCCCCCAGCAGGGCCTCCCCGGGCCCTCTGTCCGCCCTTGCTTCACGCACTCTTCCAAGGGACCTCCTTGGCCACTGACCTCTCCGGCTCGGCCTTCCCAGACCAGCCCTGCCAGGGGAGCCCCTACCTTACAGGGGGGAGTCTTCGCAGCAGACTGAGTCTGCACCTCTCCAGTCTCCCACAGGTTCTTGGTATTGGCCACGGCCATACTGGGCAGCTCTATGGAGGTCTGGCGGGACACCTTCGGGGTCCAACCAGCAGACTGCGGAGAACACAGAGCCCCAAGAGAAATTGAACATGGGTGTGTCCACCAGTGTCCCTCTTTATCCTGGGTGTCCCCTAGAGGGCCTTAATACACGATGTGGGCCTGGTCATTGGGAATAGGGAAGCAAGGACACTGGGCATGCTCCGGTGTCCGGGGATGGGTGCAGGGACGCAGGCTAAGGAGGGGAGTTGAGGTCAGATTGGAGGAGGGGCCTGGGGGGGTAGAGGGGCGCCGGTTGGATGGGCAGGTGGGGTGGGTGGGGTGGGGGCTAGTGAAGGGGGGGGTGTTGGTTGGGTGGAAGGACACAGGCTGGTGTGGATGAGCTGACACCGCCTGGATAGACCCGTGCTGCGGGACGGGGTTGGCGGGTGAGCAAGGCAGGCGCACGCACCTCAGTGGCCTGGGTGTACTGCTGCAGACGCTCATCAATGGTGGAGATGGGCAGGGCCGGCTGAGTCTTCCTCACGCTGTTGCTGGAGGGAAGAAGAAAGCAGAGCCCCACTCAGGTCTCCCCACTGGGGCCTCCCAGCGCCCCCAGTCCCCCTCCACGCCCTCCACAGTCCCAGATCTCCACCCTGGGGCGCTGGAATGCTGGAGAGCACACAGACCCACCTCTTCTCTATGGAGCGGTTCAGGGACTCTGTCCGGTCAGCCAGCTGTGGAGGGTGGGCAGAAGTGTGGGTCTTGGGCCGCAGAACGAGATCCATGCTCCGGATCCCCGAGGTCCGAGCTGACCATCCAACCACCCTTGTCCCGATCACTAGGGGACCATGTTTGGGGAGGCAGGGCGGGGAGGCACACGGCCTCACTTACTTTGATGGAGGGGCTCAGGGGAGGTGAGCTGGGCTCCGCGGTCCCCACTGAGAGTGGAGGGCTGGGGGTCCTGTGTTGTCCACCTGTCTGGTGCTAGAGAAAGAAAGCCAGACGGTTAGGGTGAGGAACCATCTATGTTCTGGGAAGAACTCGCCCACAGTCACCAGCCTCACAGCCCTGAAGAAATGTGTTGGGGGGGGGGCCTTTGTGGCTGGGCATTGGGCACCGGCTCTTCCAGGCCAAGTCCAAGAGGCCCAGAGCGGTGCAGGAAGAAAATGGCCCCAGATTGGGAGGGGGAGGGGTGTCCACATCCCTGGGGAGCCCTCACCTCGTCCTCGGCCACCCCCGGGGACCCCCCAGCAGCCTCTTCCGGGCTCAGGTGCAGGTCCTCCAGGGGGACGTCGGGTCGGCATGGCCCACCGCTGGCCTCGCTGTCACAGCGACGCTGGCTGGGCCTACGGCAGGAAGGGGAGCCCTCCACGTTCTCATCTGTGAACTGGGGTGGGCTTCTGAATCCCTGCTTCTTTGAGGAGGGAGACCCAGCCTCCTCAGAGGCAGCCCCCTCCCCCGCCGCTGCAGGCCTAGGCCCGCGGAGAGCAGGGACCGCCGCCCGGGCCCTGCACACCGAGTCGCCCGGGCACCGAGCCTGGACCTCCCTTGTAGCCCCTCTCTGGACAAGGCCGGATTCCAGAGGCCGTCCCTGGCCTCGCTGCCCGGGCTGCCGGCTCCTGCCCTGCTCTGTGGGTGGGCAAGGGGGTCAGGCTGTGGAGGGAGGGCAGGGTCCACATCAGGACTGAGGGCCGTGGAGGGAGAGGGCCGGGGAAGGGGAAGGGAGGCTGACAGCTGGCCACCGGGTGTGGCTCTGTATGTGAGTGGGAATGAGCCCGGAGGACAAGACGGTAAATTCTTTCATTTTCCATGATTTCAGACCCCGGGGTGTGCATGCCAGCCAAGACCCAGACCCACCGCCCAAGGTGGGCCAGGGCCTGCGCCAGCAGCCGCCACACAGAGGGGTCATTCAGGCACCCGGGGCCTGGCGGCCCTGCAGGTGTGGGGTGGGGGTGCAAGCCACAGGCCGGGCTCCGCCAGGGAAGAGCAAAAGTGCCCTGATGTGGGGCCCGAGAGAGAGCTGCGTGGAAGGCAAGGCAGCAAGAAGTCCACCTGGGTGTGTACAGGTCCCCCAGGACACGTTGGAGAAACTGAGCCAGTGCTGGGGAGGAGAGCGGAGGCCCTGAGGCAGGAAGGGGAGAGCGGGCGGGCCTGCTGGCCCGGGGCCTCCGAGGGGCCAGCAGGGGGCTGAATCCGGGAAAGTGGACAGCTCAGCCTTGGGCTCCGGCCCGCTCGAGGCCGTGGGGCCCTAGCCCCAATCTTGGAACTGGTGAACACACACACTGCCCGGGCCTGAAGGAGCCCGCCCTCTCACTCCCCAGGCATGGACCCTGAGCTGGGAGGAGGCGGGGGGACGGCCCCCATGCCCAGGCCCCAGCGGGTCTGGGGTCTTCGCCCCCACCCCGGTCAGACAGGCCCAGGCGTCCCCGTGTGCGGGCCGCGTGAGGAACTGCAGGCGTACACCTGGTCCACCTCCTGGGGATGGTCAGCGGCCCCGGGGAGGGCCAGGGGCGGAAGGGACACGTACCTTCCTGGCACAACCTGCTTTAGCTACGTGCTGCAGCTGTGTGCTGATGTGTTGGGACCCCAGCCCTCCACAGCTGGCCTGGACGGGGCCCCAGGGCCCGGGGAGCCAGGAATGAAGTTTCCTCACCGCCTCCCCCTCCAGCACACCCAGGACACCTCACCGTCTAGCTCTCTTCCTTCCCATCCCTTCCTGCCGCCCTCTCTTCCCCCTCCTAAAGCCTTTGGGCTTTTTCTCGGGGGTGGGGGGTGGCTAGGAAAGGGAAACAGGGGTCTTGATCACAGCGTGAGTGAGGAGCTCAGGACGGGGAAGAGCTCTGCCAGGAGGCCCAGCCTCCAGGCCTCCACCCCACTTGCCTGTCCTCTGCCAGCCCCCCCTCGGGGCTCTCGTTCTGGGGGGCCTCGCCCGCCCAGCGTGGCTGCCACAGTTCCGGCTTCTGGGACCAGTCCCCAAAACCCTCGTCCTCATCCACTTCAGGGCCCGCTGAGGGCTTCCGGCCAAGGCTGGAAGAACAAAAAGTGGGGTGTCAGGCCGCAGCCCTGCCCTCCACACTGTGGGGGACTCGAGCCGCCCCAGAGGGGCTCTCCACAGCTAGGCTGGGTGCCTTCCACCCATCTAAGACTTGCCGAGCCTCCTCCCTCACCCCCCCCCCCGCCCCCACCCAGGGCAGGGCTGTGCGTCTGCACTTAGTGTGAGAACACCCTGTTAGGTGCGGCTCCTCCAGACCAGGGCCGCCAAGGCTGCACCTCCCCCACCCGGCTGGAGCCGCATCCACAGCGCTCGGGCTCCCCCTTCAGTCCAGAGCCGTGTCTACAGCAGGCTGGGGCCCCCCAAAACACAGGGCTGCGCTCCCGGCTTCCACAGGGCCCCCCAAAACACAGGGCTGCGCTCCCGGCTTCCACAGGGGCCCCCAAAACACAGGTCTGTGTGTCCTGCTTCCACAGGGCCCCCCAAAACAGGGCTGTATGTCCTGCTTCCACAGGGCCCCCAAAACACAGGGCTGCGCTCCCCAAAACACAGGGGCCCCCAAAACATAGGGCTGCAATCCCTGCTTCCACAGGGCCCCCCAAAACACAGGGCTGTGTGTCCTGCTTCCACAGGGCCCCCCAAAACATAGGCCTGCACTCCCTGCTTCCACAGGGCCCCCCAAAAAACAGGGCTGCACTCTCTGCTTCCACAGGGTCCCCCAAAACACAGGTCTGTGTGCCCTGCTTCCACAGGGGCTCCCCAAAACACAGGACTGTGCTCCCTGCTTCCACAGGGCCCCCAAAACACAGGTCTGTGTGCCCTGCTTCCACAGGGGCTCCTCAAAACACAGGTCTGTGTGCCCTGCTTCCACAGGGGCTCCTCAAAACACAGGGCTGCACTCCCTGCTTACAGAGGGGCCCCCAAAACACAGGGCTGCGATCCCTGCTTCCACAGGGTCCCCAAAACACAGGGCTGCACTCCCTGCTTCCACAGGGCCCCCAAAACACAGGTCTGTGTGTCCTGCTTCCACAGGGTCCCCCAAAACACAGGTCTGTGTGTCCTGCTTCCACCAGGGCTCCCCAAAACACAGGGTTGCGCTCCCTGCTTCCACAGGGTCCCCCAAAACACAGGTCTGCATGCCCTGCTTCCACAGGGCCCCCCAAAACACAGGTCTGCATGCCTTGCTTCCACAGGGCCCCCAAAACACAGGGCTGTGCTCCCTGCTTCCACAGAGCTCCCCAAAACACAGGTCTGCACTGCCTGCTTCCACAGGGCCCCCAAAACACAGGTCTGTGTGTCCTGCTTCCACAGGACCCCCCAAAACACAGGGCTGAGCTCCTTTAGTTTGGGGCTCCCTAGAGACAGAACTTCATCCCCGTTCAGGCTCTCACCAGCCTGGACTCTCACCAGCCTGGACTCTCACCAGCCCGGACTCACACCAGCCTGGACTCTCACCAACCCCGGGCTCTCACCAGCCTGGACTCTCACCAGCCTGGACTCTCACCAGCCCGGGCTCACACCAGCCTGGACTCTCACCAGCCTGGACTCACACCAGCCTGGACTCTCACCAGCCTGGACTCACACCAGCCTGGACTCTCACCAGCCTGGACTCTCACCAGCCTGGACTCTCACCAGTCTGGCTCTCACCAGCCTGGACTCTCACCAGCCTGGACTCTCACCAGCCTGGACTCTCACCAGCCTGGCTCTCACCAGCCTGGACTCTCACCAGCCTGGCTCTCACCAGCCTGGACTCTCACCAGCCTGGACTCTCACCAGCCTGGACTCTCACCAACCTGGCTCACACCAGCCGGGACTCTCACCAGCCCGGGCTCTCACCAGCCTGGCTCTCACCAGCCTGGACTCTCACCAGCCTGGACTCACACCAGCCTGGACTCTCACCAGCCTGGACTCTCACCAGCCCGGGCTCTCACCAGCCTGGCTCTCACCAGCCTGGACTCTCGCCAGCCTGGACTCTCACCAGCCTGGACTCTCACCAGCCTGGACTCTCACCAGCCTGGCTCTCACCAGCCTGGACTCTCACCAGCCTGGACTCTCACCAGCCTGGACTCTCACCAGCCTGGACTCTCACCAGCCCAGGCTCTCACCAGCCAGGACTCTCACCAGCCTGGCTCACACCAGCCTAGACTCTCACCAGCCTGGACTCTCACCAGCCTGGACTGTCACCAGCCCAGGCTCTCACCAGCCAGGACTCTCACCAGCCTGGCTCTCACCAGCCTGGGCTCCAAAGGAAAGCCTGTGCCTCTCGTTTACTTTGGGGCTCCCCAAGAACAGAGCTGAGCCTTTCTCTTTAGTTGGGGGCTGTGCCCTCCAGCCGGGGCTTCTGGGGGTGCTGTGACCCGTGTGGAGCAGCGGGGTGGGTGACCATGGCAGGGCCGGGCCGTGAGGGCTGGGGTAACTGAGGGCCAGTGGAGGGGCCGTGACCCCTCAGCACCCCACCCCGCCTGAAGCTGCTGACTCGGAGAAAATGGAACAAAGCAGGGGCCAGGAGGAAGGGGAGCATTATTGGAAAAACAGCCCAGCCCAGCCACGGAGGCCTCCTGGGCCCGCGGAGGAAACGAGCCGGCCCCTGGCCGCCAACTTGGATACGGGCTGCATGAGTCACGGAGCCGGGAGCTGGGGCGGGGGGCTCCGGGGCCCTGAGGGGCTCGGAGGCTAGGGCCGGGCAGCTGGGGTCAGCATCAGTCCAAGCAAGGCCGGGGGCCAGGCAGGGTGTCCAGAGCCTGAGTCAGAGCCCCGGAGGCCAGCGGGGAGGGCGGTCTGGCCGACTCAGGCATCCTCGGACGAGGTCACCCAGGGCTGCTGACCCCCGGCCCCTGGAGCTCTGCCTGCTTCTAGCCTGTCCCCCAACTCTTGTACCTAGATCCCCAAGCCTAGGGCTGACTCCAGCATCTACCCAGAAACTGGGGTTTGGGGCAAGGCAGCCTACAGGGCCTCCTGCTCGGGCTGCTCCGGAGAATGGCTGCTTTCGTCCCGGTCCCGGTCCCGGTCCCGCGGCTCTCTGCCCGGCTCCTGCTGGTGCTGCTCCCACGCGGCCTCCTCTCCGTCCTCCACACTCCACTGGGTAGTGAGCCTGGGAGAGACACCGATGACAGTCATGCCACGGCTCGCACGGGTGGTGGTGGACCAGCCCTGCCACTGGGCCACTCCTCTGGCCTCAGTTTACTACTCTCACACTTGTTCACGCTCTATGCCAGCACTGGGGCTTGAACTCAAGACCTACCTGCTAGCCGCCCCTTGGTGTTTTTCCTTAAGGCTGGCACTCTACCACTTGAGCCACGCCTCCACTTCTAGCTTTTCTGTGACTTTCCTGCCCCAGCTGGCTTTGAACCGTGTTGCTCAGACCTCAGCCTCCTGCCTAGCTGAGATGCTAGGCGTGAGCCAGGGCCAGGCTTTGGTTTACTTTAGAAGGAGGGAGGACTCCCAGGGCTGTGTGTACATCCGTGCACCATGCGCCCTCTGGTGAGTGGCCCGGATGGGGTGGGGGGGCTCTGATGGGCCCTAAGAAACCGCCCCCTCCCTGGACCAGCTGGGGCAAAGGTGCTCCGATCCACACGGGAGCCACGGCCGAGGCACTCCGGGGTGACCAGCCTCCAGCTACCTGACCACAGCACACCTTCTGGCCCAGAGGGGTGTACTGGGAGAGGGTCGGGAGACTTGGGCCTGACCCAGGCAAGCTGGACCCCCCGGCTCCGGCCCCTCCTCCTGGCCCTTCCCATTCTCGCCTTGACCAGCCATTGCTGGGGAGCCGGGCAGCCTGCATGTCGGGTCCCCTCGGCAGGCTCCATCTGTGCCTTTCAAAGGGCGGGGGGGGGGGGGAAACTGAGGCCAGGGAGTGCTGTCCTCTCAGAGTGCTGGGACACGTAGGCTCCTTTGGGGCCCCCTCGCACGGAGCTAGAGAGGAAGGCAGAGATGGCGGGCTGGGGGTGTCAGAGGCACACCCCAGTCCCCTAGGGAGGGGGCCCACTGCCCAGCTCCAGGGTAGGCGGCCGGGAACGGGTAGGCCTGGGTCTCTCTCCTTGCCGGGGTCTCGGTCCTTCCTGATGAGTGTCCGCTGAATGACCCCACCGCCCGCTCCCCTCTGGGCCTCCATCCCCCGGCCAGGCAGCACTGCCAGCACATGATCTAATCTCTCCAGGTCTCCCTAAGCCTGTCAGACGAAAGCCAGGCCCCTCCACAGGCTCCAGCACACGGCGCCCCCCCAGCCACGTGGGACTCTAGCCACGCAGCCTGCCCGCCGCTCCCCCCCACCGCAACCCCCACCCCAGAAAGCCCCTTAACTCCCCACACCTGGCTCCTATCACTGCCGATGAAGGCCGGCCTCCTGGCTCCAAGGCCTGGCTGGCTGGGGCCGCCAAGCCCCATCCTACCTGGGGAGACGGAGCTCCTCACTCTCAGGTCCCCCAAACCCACGCACACCAGAGTCCCCCTTCCCCCCCACAGGCAGAGCACGGTGGAAGAAGACACCCCTGCCTGCCTGCTCCTGGGGCCGCCCCTCTCCCAAAGAGACCACTCAAGGGGCAGCCTGGTCACCACTTCTGTCTCTGTCTGTGTGTCTGGTTGTGGGCGTGGGTGCCATTGTGCTCACACAAGTGTGTCAGCCAGAGCCTGGAACGCAAGTCTGAGCCTCAGTTCCTCCTTGGGATTCCAGGTCCTTTCCCGTGGGGTCCCTCACTGCCTCTGGCGGGGGCTCTGTACCCCAGAGCCCCTCACCAAGCCCCCCGCTGTGAGCAGCACTGCCGGGCCACAGCAGCACCATCCGCACAAAGCCCAGGGAACATCCCATCCACGCACATGCACACACACGTGTGAGCCCTCACACACATGTGCCTACGCAGTGCTCACACATCTGCACACTGCACACATGCCACACACATCCATAGAGACTCACACTTATCCACACACATGTACACACACATCCATAGATACACTTATCCACACACATGCCACACATGTCCACACACATCCATAGATGCTCACACTTATCCACACACATGCCACACATGTACACACACATCCATAGAGACTCACACTTATCCACACACATGCCACACATGTACACACACATCCATAGATGCTCATACTTATCCACACACATGCCACACATGTACACACACATCCATAGAGACTCACACTTATCCACACACATGCCACACATGTCCACACACATCCATAGATGCTCACACTTATCCACACACATGCCACACATGTACACACACATCCATAGAGACTCACACTTATCCACACACATGCCACACATGTACACACACATCCATAGAGACTCACACTTATCCACACACATGCCACACATGTACACACACATCCATAGAGACTCACACTTATCCACACACATGCCACACATGTACACGCACATCCATAGATGCTCACACTTATCCACACACATGCCACACATGTCCACGCACATCCATAGAGACTCACACATCCACACACATGCCACACATGTACACACACATCCATAGAGACTCACACTTATCCACACACATGCCACACATGTCCACACACATCCATAGAGACTCACACGTATCCACACACATGCCACACATGTACACACACATCCATAGAGACTCACACTTATCCACACACATGCCACACATGTCCACACACATCCATAGAGACTCACACTTATCCACACACATGCCACACATGTACACACACATCCATAGAGACTCACACTTATCCACACACATGCCACACATGTACACACACATCCATAGAGACTCACACTTATCCACACACATGTCCACACACATCCATAGATACTCACACTTATCCACACACATGTCCACACACATCCATAGAGACTCACACTTATCCACACACATTCCACACATGTTCGCATACATCCATAGAGACTCACACTTATCCACACACATGCCACACATGTCCACACACATCCATAGATACTCACACTTATCCACACACATGCCACACATGTCCACATACATCCATAGATGCCCACACTTATCCACACACATGCTCACACATGCACATGGGAGTCCTTTCACACACATGTCCACACACATGCCCACACATGTGTTCACATCTGTGTCCAGACACATGCTCACAAGGTCCCCACACACCCATATGTACCCACACTTGTCCACATGCATGCTAACACACACCAGCACATGCACACACAGGCATTCCAGGCACATACATGCTCACACACACCAGCACATGCACATACATGCATCCCAGGCACACACATGCTCACACACACCAGCACATGCACACACAGGCATCCCAGGCACACGCATGCTCACACACACCAGCACATGCACACACAGGCATCCCCAGCCACACGCATGCACATGGGGGCCCTTACACACACACTCCCCCCCACAGACACAGGCCCACACACGTGTACGTGGGACATGCTTGGGCACGTGCAGAGAAGACGGGAACAGGGGATCACGGGACGGACAGTTCTGTCCCCCTCCCCGGCTCCCCGGGGGTGCTCCTGCCTCTTTATTTACTGTTTTCCTCTGTGTCACCCCGACAACGTGGTAGGGGCTTGGCGGGAGGCCACGCTGGGTTTTCTGGGAGCCTCATCTCTGAGGAGCTGCTTCTCAAGTCACCCCCTTTTGGACCCCTGGAAAATAACTCAGAGACAGTGGGGGTACAGGGCAGGGGTCTCTGGGACCCCCTCTCTGCCACCCCCATGATGGGGAAAAGCCCTGCCTGCCCCAGTTCCTGACCCCGCAGCTGAGGCCTGGAGGCCCCCCGGCCCCTTCCCTGTCTCCTCCCTTCCCGCCCGCCCGCCCGCCCGCCCGCGGCCCGCGGATGTGAGTAATGCGGCCCCCTCCCCATGACCTCACCCCACCAGCTCCACAGCTGGGCTCCGTTCTGGGAACTGAAAGGGGGTGGCTCTCCTGGGGTGGGGTGGGAGCCTCTGGCCTGGAAGCGCGCCCCCCGGCCAGCAGCCCAGACCCCTTGGCAGGCTCTGAACCTGTCAGGCCTCCCGCCCGCCCGCCCGCAGCGGCTGCGCGGGGCAGGCCAGCTGCACAGGATTTGCTGTGCTGAACAGTGCAATCAGCCATTTCCTGCGTCTGTTCTGGCTCCGAGGCCCCGGGCTCAGCCCGAGGGGCCAGGATGGGGGCCTGCTCCTCCGGGGCCTGATTCTACCCAGGTGCACCAGTGTGCTTGGACCCCAGTCAGGACCCCTATGCCGAGCAAGAACCCCCAAACCAGGCTGTCCACAGGCCGCCGGCCACACGCCGCCTGGGGTCTGCTCTTCTTCCTGTGCGCCTCCCCCACCCGGCCCTACTGCCCGGACCCCATGAGAACCTCAGCACTGCCGGTCCTGTGCCGCTCTCTGCAGCTGCCCACGGCTCCCCCCGTGGACAGACGGTTCCTCAGGCCTGCTGGCCTCAATCCCACCACAACACTGCCCCCTGCAGGCCGCTCCATGGCCACCCCTTCCTGTCAGCCCTGTCAGGCAGCTAGCTGGCTCCCCAGACCCTGCAGGGCCGTGGGGAGGGGGGCTCAGGCCCAGGGGCACGCAGACCACGGGAGCGAGGCAGCGCTAGATCCCCAGCCCTGGTGGTGTGTACACCACAGAGCTGGGAGCCTGCAGACCCCCGAGAAGACAGATCCCCGGTCGCCTGACACACGCCTCCTCTGGGGACCGGGAGAAGGGAAGGGTTGCATGGGGCGCTCTGGTGCTGTCTTCCTGGAGGCTTCTCCTTGGCCAGTGCCCACGTCTGCAACTCGGGGCAACACTCACGCCCCCCTCCCCCAGTGATCTAGTGCCAGTACCCAGGCCAGGGAGGGGCACAGGTGGGGCACGGAGCAGCCGTCACTCATCCCGGGAAAGGTGGTTATGCCAGCTGAGCCGGAGCGCAGACAGCCGGGGGCCAGCAGGTGGGAGCTGGGTGGGGCGGGCAGGGGAACGTGGGCCCTGCCTGAGCCCGGTGCCCTCGACGCACGCAGGCCTGGCTCTGCACCGGGCCCCTGTCCACAGCCTCCCCGGCGGTGTCTGTCCTCGGGGCGCTCCTGCTGTCACAAGCCCGTGCGTGAGGGTGCCTTCCCACTGCCCAGGACTGTCCACAG